TATTCTTCACTCTTATGCCACCATCTGGCAAGAAAGGGAGTTCATCAGTGCTCAGGGTACTCCCATCACTAACATGCCTCTCATCCTCAAACTTTTAGAGACAGCACAACTCCCAAAACAGGTACTAGTTATTCAATGCAGGAAACACCTGACTCCAACAGATCCCATCATTCAGAAAAATATGTTTGCTGACGTGCAGGCCAAGTTAGCTGCTCAACAGCTGTATTCCCTTTGCCTTCTCCCTCTCATTCCAAAGGCCATGCCCCCACCCCAATATTCATCAAAATAACTGCACTTGCTCTAAAAATCTATCACCAAAACACAGAGGGATGGATCTTCCAAGGGCCAAAGCTTCTCCTCCCAGACCAACAAACACAAACCATCATCACTGACTTACACAACTGCTTCCATGTCAGTACTTAGGCTCTATATAAATTCCTAACATCATCACTACACATCCCTCCCTAAAAGCCATCACTTGCCAAGTCACTCAAAATAGTCAACTAAGCACTAAAACTTCTCCTCAGGGACATCTACCACCACCCTTTCCCAATCACCGGCTTCATAGACATACTCCAGGTGAAGACTGGCAGACTGACTTCACATGCATACACCACCACAGAACTTATAGATATCTTCTCACTTTCGTCTGCACCTTCTCAGGGTGGACAGAGGCATTCCCTATCACTGGAGAGAACACCAACATAGTCTCCAAAACTCTTATACCAGACATTGTTCCTAGATTGGACTGCCTTGGACTATCCAGCCAGATAACGGTTTTGCATTTATCTCCCAATCACTCAACAGTTCTTAACATTATCTGGCATTTACACATACCATATTATTCACAATCCTTAGGTAAGGGAGAAAAGGCAAATGGACTCTTAAATAAGACACACCTCACAAAACTTACCCAGGAATTATACCAGCTGTGGCCTCAGCTCCTCCCTCTTACCCTAACTAGATGCAAAGCACTTCCCAGGGCACCTACTTTTCTAAGTCCTTTTGAGTTCATGTATGATAGGCCATTTCTGCTTCACAACTTTCTAGCTCCTGATAACCTTCCCCCCGACTGCTGACTATACTCCAGTTCTGTCCTTCTTCGGTATCTGCTGTGACAACATGCTGACCTCTGTCTCCTGCAGCAAATAGTTAACACCCAGCCACAGTCTTCTATAGGTGCGGAGACTTAATTTATCTAAAATCTTCCAAGCTCACAGGATTACAGCCAAAGGAGTCTGGACCCCACCTGGTTGTCCTCACAATACCCACTGTGATCAAGGTCACCAGCCTTTTGTCCTGGGTCCACATCACTCAAGCTAAACAGTGCCCTGACAATCTCGCTGTCCCTGACGTCAAATCTTTACCACCAGAGTGGTCATCACATCTCTTATCTCTCACTCTCCTCAAACTCACCAAGGCCTCTGGCAAGCCACTGAAGTAACCCATGTATTGCTATCCCCTTCTGCTCCTGATTCTTTACCTGCGGCTCATTTTTACATTTGCATTTGCAGTTGGACTATGGACTGTGTGCCTGAGTGACTTTCAGATACACACAAGATAGCCTATCTACTTTTGTACTTGGTAACAGTCTTTGGGCTCTCTTTCCACTCTTCTTTGCCTACCTTAAACATCACCAATATGCATCCCTTTCCGGCCCTCACACTCCTGTTTCTTCCCTTATTCTCTAGTCCAATTCTAACACTTGATACCAGCCTCCATTTACACCCTCACTCTAACTTTAACTGATGGCGGAAGGACTGAATCAAGTAATTTCAACCCCCCTAATTCCACACTCACAGTCGCAGTCCCCTACTGCCGCCTGAGAAATTATACTCAAACCTGGGATGATAAGGGATTCTATAGTTGCAATATGCCTGAAGGCATTTACTGTACCCAGCTTGACCCCCGTACCACACGATGCACCAGTGCAACTGTGCTAATCCCCATTATTTTACATTGATAAATGGGGATATGAAGCCATTGGCATATATGCAGGAACCAGAGGGGTCTGGAAACAATCTGATGCATTCATCTCAGTCCAGATAAAATTAAGGGGCCCAATAGACCGCCGAAGCTGGAAACAAAACAAACTGGTAATATTCACAATTTCAAATGCATTACACTCCCAATACCTCTTGGGAAAATCTTGGGGCCTTTATTTTTACTTTTCCTCTAACAATCCAATGTATGGTAATTTTCTCACTCTAAAGATCACGCCAATACACCGAACTTCCATCATAAACACACCCATAATGTCTCCCTCACAGTCTAATACCCCTCTACCAAAACACTGCCTTCCCAACCCCCTAGCTTCTTTCACATGCCTACGACACTCTTATCCACTTCTCTAACCTCATGGAGTGTTGGCTCTGTGTTTGTACTGACGGGGCCTTTATATGGCTGTTCTTACACACTGGAATGTCTACCACCTAGCCTACCCACCTGATCTGGTCATAGTGGGCCCTTTCTCTATTTACAACTCTCACCACTGGCCAGTCAACCTCACCTGCTCACTCTCACAGTCTCAAAACTCCTCTCACAAGATGGAAAATGTCCCTCACTGAACTCACACCATTACCCCCAAACAAGACCAGGCTGTCTGCCCACCCCAGCGATAGTTTACAGGCTGTGAAACAGGGGCATACACATGTCTTCCTCTTCACTGGGCAGGATCTTACATCCTGGTCCTTCTCTTTCCAGCCTTAAAATTAAACTTTGAGGAAACCATAGAACTCTCCCTCTTATCACAACCCCAAAACATACATCTCAGTTGAAAAAGCAAGGCTGCTCATGTTTCCATCCTTGTTGGTACAGGCATTCTATCTGCCCTCAGAGCTGGTCTTGGGGCAGAAGGAAAAGGTACAGCCACCCATCTCTACCACCAACTTTCTCTCGAGCTTCATCAATGCATAGAGTACATAACATCTGTTCATTCCCTCCAAAATCTGATAAATAGCCTTGCAGCAGTCACTCTCCAAAACCGTCAGGTCTTAGATGTTCTCACAGGAAAGGAGGGAGGTACCTTTGCGATGCTGGAAGAGGAATATTGCTACCTTGTAAATGAATCTGATACTGTCATGGAAAATGTAAAAAGCCTCCATAACTACCTCCACAAAAAATGTCAGACACTGAGATACAGCTACACTTCTTTTTCCTGGTCCTGATAGGGCAACACACTTGGATCATGGGCACCATACCTCCTCTATCTCTTGGGCCCAGTAATCACGATAATAGTATTTTTACTCGTAGTACCCTGTGTTTTAAAACTTTTTTTTAGTTTTATCCAATCCAGGTTCCACACAATCATCACTCTAGCAGAAACCCCCAACATTGGTTTTTACCCCCAACATTGGTTCCACACAACCTCATCACTCTAGCAGAAACCCCCAACATTGGTTTTTACACAGGCGATGCCCATTGTCCCCTTGCCCCATACCGTATAATCAAAAGACAGGAATGATGTGTTTACCGCCTAAATAAAAATTCTGCCAAAGTCATCATGGCAGTGAACCAATAGGGTACAGGCCACAGGAAGCTATGTGCTAAGTCCCAGCTTTCTCCTCCCTGGCTGAGTTACCACTTTCTTTCTTTTTCCCACCCACTGCCCAATCACTATCTACTGTGTCACGCCCCCTAAACCCCACCTCCAGCCAGGTTCTATGTAGCTATTGTTCTCCCAGCCAGGCCCTCAGAAGGTGTGGGCCTCTCCTCCCTTCTGTGGCCTTCCCCGTGCCTGCAATAAAGGCATTTTTACTTTGCTTTGTTTTTTACTTGTGCCCAAAAAACTAACAAAGAGGATATCAGAAAATGAATGGAAAGATAGCTCTTGCTCATGGATAGGAAGAACCAACATAGTGAAAATGGCCACACTTCCAAAACTGTTATATAGATTTAATGCAATCCCAATAAAAATGCCATTAGCATACCTCACGGAACTGGAGAAAATACTCCTAAAATTCATCTGGAACCAGAAAAGACCAACAATAGCAAAGGCAATCCTGGGCAAGAGACAAGTCAGGAGGCATCACAATCCCTGAAGTGAAATTATACTACAAAGCTACTGTGATAAAATCAGCATGGTACTGGCAAAAAAACACACAATTATCTTTCGATTTAGTGTAAGACCAAAGAGCCAGGGAGGCACTATGTATGTAAAACAGATCCCTTGATACCAGGAAAATCCACAGTAAATAAGGATTAAATGGGTGAAAAATAAAACAAATAATGAAACAAAAACAAGTTAACCAGTACCCACCCTTTACATGTGTAAGAATTGGCCCAGCATTCAGAGAGAAGGCACTATAACTTGGCAAAACCACTCACTCAGTTTTGAAACACATCACTGTAAATATAAGTAGGAACACATTTCAGTTTCCTCCTTTTTTTAAGTAAAAGTTTACTTCTTTACTCAGTTTTAATTATTAACATGAATTAATTGCAATATTAATGAGATGTATTAAGATATTTCTATACATGTATTTGTTTTTTTTGTTTGTTTTTTTTTCCAGTACTGGGAATCGAACTCATGACCTTGCGCTTGCCAGGCAGGCACTGCACCACTGAGCTAAATCCCCAGCCCAGTATTTCTATACAAGTATACATCATGCACTTATCACTATTTTAAGAACTTGTTTAGTTCTAGGTCTCTAGGAGGAAAAGAGTATATAGCCTAAAATCTATATTTGGATTTGGGTTGTTGCACAACTCAAAGAGCACAGCCACCCACAGCTGGACAGTTCACCTTATTGCTGTTATGCATGACAATTTTCAGTCTTGGGGCAGATGCAACAGCAGCCTATACAGCATATCCCGAGGAATCTACAGCTCTCCATACTACAAACCCAGACCAATGCATTTCCCACCAGAGCTCCAAAACCCTAAAATAAAAGGTAAAAAATTGCACACATCACTGTTTAAGGATATATTTTTCAAGGAGTTTTTAAATCAAATCAAATCTTACCCTCTGAAAGTAGTAATCTGAAAAGAATACAACTTACCAAATGTCCCATAAAAGCCTCTAGGTCCACAGGTCCCCACGCCATACTTCTTTAGAGATGCTAAAGCTGCTGCCTTAATTGAAACAAAAAATTACATTTTAATAATTTATTTGTAAAAGCACAAAGAATCCCTGTTCTTTAACCTACACTGCCTTCTTCTCTTTTGTTCCTCCCTCCCACATTTTCCTTTATTCCTCACAACTATGACAATTCTAACAGGCTATAAGGAAAAAACAAAAGTAAAGATTCAGGTATTTCACTTAAGACACAGAAAAGTTACACTAGCTTGATTCTCAACACCTGGTTAACTCAATACCTTTATACGTCTTGCATCTTTGGTCACATGTCTTTGCCAAAAAATGTTCACTAGTGCACAATCCCAAAATAATGTCAGCGATTTTCTAGACACTCCTCTATTGCCCAGGTCTTGCTTGTTAGGTTCTCTATCACCCAACACTAAGCCCCATTAGGCACTCTTATCTTGTTTAACTCCAGGTTACAATTGTGTCAAGGAGTAATGGAAAACACAGCCCACTCTGAGGGTCCACATTTGTCTTTCCCTTTATGTCTTGTTTTTTCACCATGTAGGTTATTTACCCACTTCAGCACTATGTGCTACTTACCTTAACCCGAGGGTTATCCAGCAATCCAAGAAAATTAAAGGAGGCAAAGTTTATACATTCTTTCCCATTCACCACAATCTTGTGGCTTGGAGGGCTGGCAAAGAGACAAACAGCAGTATGCTTCAACACATGTTAATGTCATGTGCTATCTTCTTACCTCTATTCCATTCCAATCTTTTCTTTAATTTTTTTTTGTTGTTTAAAAGTAAAATTAGAAGTCAGATATTGTGGTACATGCCTGTAATCCCACTATTCTGGGTAGGAAGGTCATAAATCCAAGCCCAGCCTGGGCAACTCAGCAAGACCAAACTAAAAAAAAAAAAAAAAAAAGACTAGGGATGTAGCTCAATGGGAAGACCTCGGGGTTCAACGCCAGTACCATCTACCCCCTCCCTCAAATAAAATTAGAGAATGGTATATTAAAAACCAATGCCTTTCCATTAGTCTCAAGTAAGTTACTTTTTGTTTGTTTGTTTGTCTGTTTTCCTGTACCAGGAATTGAACTCATGACCCTGTGCTTGCCAGGCAGGCACTGTGCCGCTGAGCTAAATCCCCAGCCCCTCAAGTAAGCTACCTTT